TGCGGGGTGTGAGCCGAGCGCTCGGAGTGGCAGCACTGCTGCAGCCCTGTTGGCCGGTGGGGCCTATTGGTACCTAACCCAAGACCTTTGTTTTTCAGCTCTGCTCCTGCTCGTATCAGCACAGCTCTTTTTTATCCTGCTGGACAGATCTGTTAGAGCTGGACTCCCGAGGACGCTGATGATATACTCTGGCTGCCAGCAGGATCACTAGTAACTCCCACACTGCCTTACTTTTCTGCCAAGACAATGTTCCAGGTTTTCTGCGGTAGCATCATCGGAGACCTCCGTGGGAAAGCGCAGAGCTGGTGCTGCTAGCACGGGTCAAGGAGCAGGGCGTGTCGTGGGCGCCTCTCCGTTAGTGGAGCGCTGAGCTACACGGTGGTTGCAGGCTGGCTGGGTAACTTCCTTGTTCTCACTTTCCCTTGCTCCCAGATCAGATGAACACTGAATCAAACACACGTCTTCCTGGAGGGCTCAGAGATAGTTGTCTGTCTGACAGCTGTCTGCTGAACTCTGAAAGACGTTTGTGAAAATGTTTTGAGTCAGGGCTTCACTTTGATTTCCTTTGTCCCTTAGCAGCACAGTGCTTAAATAACATGCTTTTACTGCGTGCACAGGAGAGTCCCATTGGAACCAAAGGGATTACTTAAGGCTAGCAGTGTCAGTGCTGAAAGACAGTTTTAGGACTTGTTTGTATGGGAGACTGTAATGGCAATTTCCATGTTTGTGTCTTTACGTATCCATGAATTTATAATATCAGTGCAGTTACCTGACTAGATTTTTATACTGCCCTACGCTCAGTATTTCCCTCAACTGGGTCCTTTTACTGCTGCAGAGGTGGTGCCAAGGGGGCTGCCAAGCAGAGCCGTGAAGTTCAGCAGCTCTCCTGCATCACTCTGTGGTATTGACTTGAATTCTAAGGCACCGATTGTGGAAGAAAGCTAGATTTAATAGTCTGCAGGATCTATACTGGTGCTATAATCGTGTGGACTTTAAAAGAAATTAGAAGACTTTCTATGACTTGATGCCGCTTAATAATGTAACTTACGATGGCTTTTATTAAAAAGGCTTTAATTAGTTGATACAGATAAAGGGACTCTACTAGCTTGCCTGTCTCTGAATTAATGTTACACTTGTGTATATGATTTAGGATTAATTATCCTGTATCCTGGAAACAAATGTTCAACTAGAACTCCTAGTTCCTTTAAAAAAAAAAACAGAGCATTATTTTGGTAGCCTGCTGTCCAGAATAGGTATTTCAGAGAGCTGTTTTCTCATCTTTGATACAAGACTTTGAGCAAAGTAGCGTTCCTCTGAGAACTAGCTTTCTGCAGAGTGCTTCCGTCTTTGCAGTGTATCTCTAGTAATGCTTCCTTTATTCTAGCAAAGGGTGAAAGCTTCCCGGTTGGTCAGCATGTTTAGGAGAGACTTGAGGCCTGAATCTTGGCTCCTCAGCTTTCTGGTGAGTTTTACAGAGATTTTAATAATTAGAATAGTTAAGATAATATGAATGCTTTATACCAATATTAATGCAACATCCTTTCTTACAGGTTGGTAGTCTGTCCAGAAGTCTCTTAGCCTTTGCAGCTATTGCCGAGAATCAGACTTTTGCTGGTTAGTATTCTTATCAGCACTTCTGTATGTTTTTATAAACAATACTCACCATAGAGATACAATGCATAAAAAGGCATGCAGCTGCAGGAACAAAGGTAAAGAAAAATTTTCTGATCCCCTGTTTTTGTGGCTGAAATTATATTTGTATAGCTAAGTATTTGCTTGGCTAACTGTGAGATTACTGCCTGAAAATCAGGTAAGTACTGTCCGTTTGCTAGCCTTCATGCCGCTGTAACTGCAAAAAAAACCCAGATAACTGTGTGCTTGCAAATTGCATTTGCAAATGCACAAACTGATAGGAGCTGGGAAACGGTTAGGGGGAGAGAAATAACGTGTCTGTGCAGGATGGGTGTTGTTTCTGGAAGTGCATGCTCTAGCTTGTGTGTGTCTGTCTTCAGATTTGACTCGTGTCACGATTGAGACCTCGAGACACATGTACAAGTATGTGGCTACTCCTTTGGACTGGTGGCATGCAGACAGATACTGCGAGCAACATTTTGCTCAGTTGCTTTTTGAACCCAGAGACAGTGAGCGAGCTTCCTTTAGCAAACTGCTGCAGTCTCACCATATCAAGGACTCTATCTGGTTAAATGAAATGAATGGCGTCCCACCCAAACCGAAATGGAGACGTGAGTATAACTGGGCTTGGACTATTTGGAGACATCTACGTTGCTGGATCTTTTTCATACTGGAAAATGAATCTGGTTGGAAATGTTGCCACTCTTCTTATTACCACTACAGTAGCACCTAGGACCTCCAGTCCCAACCTGGGATTGGCAGGGTGACTGATGGTGATCCCAACACAACAGCTGCCTGGTCACTGTCAAGATTTGTTTAATGCCTTGCAATGAAAGGGGTCTCCTCTGCTCTGTCCTCCTGCTCCATCTCCCTGTAAAGCATGTCTGGCTTTGCTTACCCCCTGCCATTTGTGACCCACAGGTCCTGCAGAACGGTGATGTTAGAGACGGGACCAGGAGAACGGGCTTTCTCCAGCAGCAGGGCACTGCATGGCAAATGCCTCAGAGGTCTTATTTGACTCTGCTCTTGGTGGCCATAGGACAGGATGCTTGGGAATGTGCTGTTCCTTCCAGATTCCTTGTTTGTCATCCTGTCTGCTAGAAACAAGTTTCTGGAACTTACACTTGCTGGAAAGATGTGCCAGCTTGCCCACCATCCCCACCCCCTCCAGGCACAGGGGAACCTGAAGCCCTGCTGCATGCATACATAGAGGGTGTCCATGCATGCTGGGGCCATGGGTTCTTAGCTTGGGTAGGGGGCAAACGAAAACAACGATTACATCCCGGTGGAAGGTGAGCAGGCTTCGGCCTGTGCATCTTCCTCCAGGGTAGTTGAAATTTTCGTGTTCTCCTTCCAGAGGACCACATCGTACCAGTCCTGGTGTTTGGAGACAAAACAGATACAAAATATGTGAAGGTGCTTTCTGACTTCCCAGCTCTGCCTGCTGTCACAGCCTGTGCCCACCTCCAGTGGGACACCAGGACCCAGGAGATTGCTACTATCTTCTCATATGCTGTGCCTGCTTTTATTAATGAGTTCCAGCTCCGTGGCTTTGTGGACGAGGAAGGCTTTGTTCGATTTGCTCTCATTATCCATGGGCACCATTCCCCATATCTGCCTGTGTTCCGCGCTGATGGGCAGTGGCATCACTTTTGTGTGACCTGGCAGCAGGAAAATGGGACCTGGGCCATTTTTGCTGATGGTAAAAGGAGGGCATCTGCCAGCGGTTTGTGTGCTGCGGGGCTCTCTGCCCCCCAAGCCATCTATGGCCAGGGGACTTTCATAATAGGACAGGATCAAGATTCCCTGGGAGGCACCTTCAGGGAAAAAGAATCCTTCAGTGGGAACATCACTGACTTGCACATCTGGCAGAAAGTCCTCAGCGTGGAACAGATTGAGAGAGTTCGGTCATGCCACGTGGTAGAGCAAGAGCTTGTATTTGGGTGGAGCTCAAATGCTCTGGAGGTTGAAAGCACCATTCAGCAAGTGACCACACAGTTTCTTTGCCCAGGTAAGTCCTGTCCCCCTTGTTTCTCCCATTCCCTTCTGCACTGGGAGGTCAGCAGAAGGCAGAGCATCCCTCCATGTAGGGATGGTCTGGGAAGCAATCCTTAGGGAGGGAGTTTTGTTCAGTTTGGGGAGCAACACATCGCTCCTGGGAAGGAAGGCATAAGCAGATTCAGAGCTGGGCTGGGCCATTTCCAAATCATACTTAAATTCGTAGTCAGAACTAAACCATTGGTCATTGAATACCCCTGCGGTGACCCACATCCAGTGCTTCCTGATGCAAAACAACCCTAGCAAAGATAGTCATGGGCTACCTGTACTCTTTCTCTTCTACCTGGAGAAATGGTTTACTTATCAGTGATGCTGATCCTGGATATTGCAAGCCTAGTGCTTTGACGCTCTACTAAGAGAAAGGATTTTGTCTCAGCCAGATCGACTTGATAATTTTGGATCAAAACATGAACTCAAGACCTAGCCTTGTCACCTCTAGTGAGCTCTTTCTGGAGGGTGTTCACTAGACCTGTCGGAAGCAGTTTCTGACTTGGTCCCTGCTCTGCTCTGACTGGGCTGTAGGGCTGCTTAGGGAGCAGTTTGCAGCTTTTGTTTTCAACAGAGTTTGTGAATTGCCTGCAGGAAACAGGATACCTGCTTGGGGATGGCATGTCTCTGGGGAATCCTGGACCTTCTGTTTGTGTGTGTTTCCACAGGGCCTGTTGAGGCATGCCGAGTTTTTGAAGTTGGCAGCAGTGGGTTCGGTTACACGTCTTGTTTGCAGTCCTTGCCTTTTATCTGTTGCTACAGAAAGGGTACAGCATCTGTTATTTATTTGTTCGTTACTTCCATGGCATTTACTCCTGGAGGTCCTAGCTATGATCAGGGCCAGCACCAGGGAGGTCTAGTGTCTGCTTTGAGGGGTTTGCACGTAAAACATGCTGTAGCCAGTGACTTGACTTAACCTGCCAGAGGGGCATACAAGTGATTTTGTTACTCTTCAGCTACAAGTAGTAGCTTGTATACGTTTGTATGCTTGTATACGTTACAGGGCTTGTAGGTGCAATGCTGCAGAGTGCCACCAAATCCAAGCACTTCCAAACGTGTTGGGTGGGAGGATGTGGGGAGGAGGCAGATATGAAGGGTTAGGCTGTCTCTCCAGGCGGGGTCTTGTACTGGAAATAATCTGTGAAGTCTCCTTGTCCCAACTGCCCTCCTAACTTACCCAGCATCCGAGGACCATTCCCCAGTCTTTAAACCTGGCTTATGTTAACCATGCTGCTAGACGCCACAGCAACGCTTACCCTTTTGTTTTATTCTCAGATGCATATTTGCAACTGAAAAAAGTTCAGCTGGAATCCAGGCATTCGCTTGTCAGCCATGTGAACATGCTTGCAGATAGGACTGTGGTGAGTCCTGCAGGCCCAGCCATGGTGACTGTGCTCCAGGGCGCTGGGAGCAGGTAGGAGTGGTTGGGGTGGACTTGCTGGCATCTGTCTGGTGCTTGAGAAGGTCACTTTGCCAGAAGTTACACCTCGGGCCTCTTCTGAGCTGCTGTCAAAGAGAGTGAGCAATGCAGCTGTTACCTGTGGGTCTAGTTTCTGACATCTGTGTATGACTGGTTTTGACATAGCCTGTTATACAGGCTTGGGGATTGGTCAAGCAAATTCCCAGTGGTTTGATTGAACAAGCACAGCATGGCTTCAGGCTGGCTCTTGTTTCCAGGGTTGAGGGGCTGGGCAAGAGAGTTCAAGATGCCAGGGCAGACGTCCTTTCTCTAAGATATGCCTGGCTGACCAGGCAGGGGAGAGCATGCTGTGCGTTACCTAGGGTCCCTAGCGTACTGCATAACTGACAATCAGGCGGAATCAGGACTCTGCACTGAACTAAAATACCTTTCCCGTGGCAGATTCCTGAGAACATAATCACAGGTGATGTCCGAGACATGAACCTCTCTGTTGCTCTTGGTGCTCTTGATGTCCTGGCATCTGTCCTGAGGGAAGGACAGACGCCTGTGGAGTCGTCTGACCTCCTTGGAGTGCTTCAGTTACTAAAGCAAGTTTCTGATGTGAAAGTCCAGGATGGAGAAGAGCCAGAGGTGTTGGAGCAGTTGAGCCGATTTTACATGGAAGTGACTGGGTTAATCCTGGAAGAACGCAATATTGAAACGTGGTTATCAGTCAGCCAGGTAATGCACAACACCGATGGTCTGGGAAGCTATATGCCACATCTGTTCATCCTGTTGTGCGTGCAGCTCCTTGGCCTGCAGTATGACCACACGTTGAGGACCTGTCCTTGCTGTGCTAGTCTCACAACAGTCATATGCAGCCTTTCTGGCTGTATGCTGGTGCTCGTGAAAATGCAGCAAGCATGGGCGTTGAGCCTCTTTGCCAGTTCAGACAAGGGCCAGCTGCTTTAGCATTGCCTTGTCTGCTGGAAGTGTAAACAGTTTCTTCTATGAACAAGTGCAGTCAATTCTTTGCAATCCCCTGCTGTGGTTGCCTCAGCTCCCTTCAAGCTTCCCCACTTTGTCAACCTGGATTGACAGGATTACACACGCTTTGCAGGTTCCTGTTGCTTTGTAGATTCCTCGCTCTCGCATCCTACTGTCCTTGGCAGGGCAGTGCCCTCTATTCATAAAGTCTGTTGCGTTTTCCATGGGTGAGCTGCCAAGGAGTTGTCTGTCATCAGCCCCCAAACTGTTCAAAACAGTGTCGGGCTTTGTGTGAGGTATTTCCATCATCTCACCCCCTGTTAGGATTTTCTCCACTGGCTTAGTCTTCCCTTCTCACACAGGTCTGTTGTACGACCTGCACCCTCCGCCTGTCTCTGGGGAAAGTGTGACAGTGCTTGGCCTGGCCAGCGCTCCAGGAACAGAGCCAGGGGCTTCCAGAGATGAAAGGATGCTGAATCGCTTAGAGCTTACCTCATCACTTAGAGTGGGTCTCTGTTGCCACAATTACTCATAGCTTCTTGATAGTGCCATAATACCAATTGTAGCTTAGTTTGCTGATGGAGAAGGAGGATTTGAGTTTTACTGCCAGGAGGTTCTCATGGCTGTGTTGCGTGTTGGAGCAATACTTGTGCTGCATGACGTATTCAGGACCTTGAGTAATTGGGCCAGTCACTATTACACTTCCAGTAGTGGAGTTTCTGGGTGAAACCTTTTCCAGGAAGAGAGGGATGGTTGTTCTGCAGGTTTGCAAAGATCAGGAGTAAGCTTTACAAAATAAATCTTTTTATTTATTTGCGTGCTGGTTTCAACGGCTTTTTATAAAGACCAGCAAATTTCCCTCATTTTCATTGTCTTCTCTAGTGCTGAAGGACCTGGGAACGTTCCTTTTTCCTTTTTGAAGGAAAGCAAAGCAAAAGCCTCTGTCCCACCTCTTCTCTTTCTGCCAAGGACCAAGTCTTTAGGAAATCTATTGTGTGTTGTGAGTAGTGTGATCTGGCAGTACAGGCATTGACTTCCATTGTTCTGCACGCGTTTCCAGGTTATCAGAGGGCCTATGGCTGTTGTTGAGATCTCTGACAGAGTGGTGTCAAACTTAGCCCCGCTGTTGACTGCAGGGAGGACAAAGATCACAATCCAGCATGGGAACGTGGGTGAGTGTGAACAAACAAGGCAGGAGAGCACGGCACCCTTGTCCTGTGGATGCTCACGGCATTGGGCTGTGCGGCTGGCATCTTCGGCACCTTGTTCCCTGAGACAAGGCCTGTTAAGGAGGCAAGGGCTGCGGAAGCCCATCACGCCTCCAGCCGTCAGGAGGTCATGAGGGGCTGGCAAGGAATTGTGGCTGTTTCTCCCCTCCAGCAGAGCTGCTGTGTGCTGGCCTGGGCTGCACTTCGCTCCTGGTGGTTTTCCAGGCTGATTCTGAAAAGAGGCTGAGCATTGGTGAGCAGCAGAGCTGGATCAAGGCATATCACAGGGACCCAGTTTAGTCGCTTGATCTGGTTTCTACTCTGCTCCGAACACCTCTCCTTCTCTGGCTCATCTCTTGCTAAACCTTACAGCTTTCTCCCTATTTCCTTCATGCAGAAGTGTTGTAGTATGGGAGGCACCTCTCCAACCCACCTTTCAGTTCAGGATTTGTCCTGAACTGAGTGTGCCTGGGCCCACTGTATGGTAGGGCTGCAGCCAACTCTGACTGGCTCAAGACTGGACAGATCCCAGCTCCTCTGTGTTCAGCACACGGCATCTCGTACATGCCTACCAGGCATTCCTCTCTTCTGTATTAGAAAGATGGAGAGGAGGAAACCTGCTGTGTTCCTCTACTCAGTCCCCTTCTGCAGCCTTTCATTTGTAAGAACAGGAGTCAGGTCACTCTGTTATAAAACAAATGGATAAAAAGGGATTGTAAGAAACCTATGGGCCCAAGAGACAAACAGCCCAGATGCACGTGAGCTCAAAGGGCTCTCCTGCAGCAGTGAGTCTTGACTGGGGATATAAGGTCCTGGTAGTTTTTTGCTGTAACAGTAGCTCTGGAGGAAGGCTGAACCCTAGTTCAGACCCTCCTTGTTTTTGCCCTCGCCACAGGGATGGAGGTCAGAAAGCTGGAGCTGAGCAGGCAGGAGCTGAGCAGTGAGGTGTACCTGATCCAGGGCCCCGAGAGAGACAGGCACGACTTCATCGAAGTTCCCACGGAAGAAATGCAAAGACTGAAAGCTAAAGGTAGGGTGGTGGTGTCCATGCATCTCTGGGATGTTTCCCCCACGGCACTTTGGTCAGGGGAGCTTTTCTGCAGCATCTTCGTAACAGCAGAAAGACCCTTTACTATGCCTGCAAGTAGCCTGGAGGAGTGTGGGGGGAGATGCCCTTGGTTAAAGGGAGATAGGCTGTGTGAGGAAGACTATCTACAGCCTTTCTACAGGCACAGCTCAGAGGCTGCTGTGTGGTAGGGTCAGTGCATACCTGCCCCTGCCCTCCCCAGGATCCCTGGGGAAGGGAGCCGGGGATTGTTCATAGCACTGTAACAGCTTGTGCTGAGAGCTACCCACCACATGTGAGGATGCAGTGAAGCTGCCTGGCTCCTGTGAAGAGGGACACCCACCCTGTTTCACGCTGCCATCTCACCTGCTCCCTTTGGTCCTGGTCTCTGCCATGACTTTTGTGCCTGGCTGGAAACAGGCTGGACTGAGGCTGGTGAAGGGCACTGAATGTGTGTGTGGCAGCTGCATGCTGTCCCTGCTGTATCGCACATCCCAGATGAGGGCAGCGTTGCAGAGAAGTGGGCTGCCCAGGAGTGCATGTCCTGCCCTGCGTGCTGGCACCCTATCCCACAACGCTCTCTCTATCCAGGTCTCAACAGAGTCATTGTGAAAAACATGTGGTTTGGCTTTGGCTCCCTCCAGCGCTGCCTGGCCAGCACTGGCAGCAATGCTGTCTTCCAGGATGTGGCTGCCTCTGATGGAGGACGGAAGTGAGTGAATTTGCCGGAACATTAAAGAAACCCTTTCCCTGCCCCAGGGCTGGCTCCTTTCTCAGCAGCGTAATGAAGTCCCTGCTGAGTCCATAAGAGGTGCCATGGAGCACCTCTGCCCTGCCTCATCCTGTCCTGTTTGTCCTTGTCCCCCCACTTTCTCCAAGATGCATATGGTAGCAGGACAATGGAAAGAGGCTCAGGAGCTATCTTGGCCTGAGCTGTGCTGTGAAGCTGCCTGTGTTCAGTGACGCACTGTAGCGTCTCTTTTGCATGCTTTTGTTAACCTTGAGGATAATCTGCTCTGCTGGGGGTGCATTAGGTACTGAAGCTGAGGGGGGGTGCTGCATGCCCCCTCTAGCTGGGGCAGAACTGGAGGCAGAAGCTGTTGGAGCTGGGGTGCCACAACCACTGTGGAAAAGCAGCTGCTGGAAAGCAGCAGAAGGCAGTGTCCTGTTTTTCTCTAGGGAGCCCTCTGAACACTAGGTGGGAGTGGCAGTCCACGCATCCTAGATGCACACACTGGTCCTTCACACTCAGACCTTTGGCTCAGCCATTGTGCTGCTCAGTTGCCAACCACTTAGGATACTCTAGTGCCTCATTTGCACAGTCACCTGGTGTAGTTGTGGAGAGAAGTGCTTGTGCTTTCTATTTGCTAGGTAATCTGAGATATCTTCTGCCCTGTGCCCAGGCTCTTTGCTGGTGGCACTGAAGCACTCAAGAGGCAGCTCTGGACTTCACCACTCTGTATAAAGTGAGATCCTGTTCTCTGAGCACATATCCCCTGTTATCTGTCTGTCAGTGACCTGTAGGGTTTCTCTAATAGAACAGAGAGGAAATGAGCAAATCCTGTAATCAGATGAGTGTATTGTGAAATGAGTTATACTGTGGTAATCCAGCCTCACAGCTGGAGTGAGGCAGGGTAAGCCCTAAGGTGGAGTGTCCACTTGGCTCTAGGCTCAGAGAGCTTGGCATCAGCTGCTATGAGCAAAGTCTTGCTTTGTTTAACTTTGAGGCCTTCCCCCTTTTATTGACAATACTTTCCTTTTCAGTCTCATCTTGTAGTCCCTGTATCTGTGAGCAGCATGCTTTTCCTTACAGGTACTTGAGCACCACAGTGGGCACTGCTGTCATTTCATCCGCTCTGCTCAGCGATTACCAGGAGATTAGCACATCTGTGCACTATCACCTGCAACACCACACCAAGGTACTCTGGCAAGGAGGCTGTGCTTCACTGCTGCCTTCCCTGGCCCGGAGCAAAGCTGGCATATTGCACTGTCTGTCCCAGCAGGCTATGCTGAACCTCTGCTCGAGGCCCCCAGACCTTTTGGAGTTGTGGGTGCCCCAGGCCTGGGAAGGCGTTTGTCTGGTGCTGGTGGGCCATGCTCTGTTATGTTGTAGCCCTGCAAGTCAGCTGTATAAAGTCTGTCTGCATAAAGTATGTGTGCAGCTGTATAATCTTCTCTTCTCCATCTCTGCCTGCAGGGCCTGCCTGATAAGCTGGTGGGGCCCATCTGTGCCTTCTGGAACTTCAGCCTCAGGTGCCTTGTCTCAGTTTAAGTCCCCAGATTTGTGAGCTTTTATTTCCACTTCAGAACCAAAAATAACAACATAAATAAAACAGTAAGAGTAGTGATCTGTGATTCTTTGCATGCTTTGCATTCTGACATCCTCTATCTGCTGAAGTAGAGCTCTCCTGGGAAGATTTCTTTTGGAAAAGTCATTCACAAGCAAATTACCTTTAATGAAGCATGTGCAACTGAAATGGAAAGCCCTAGTTAATTATAATTGTTGTCTGCAACAAAGAAGGGTTGGGCCAAGAGTTATAACACAAAAGACATGCAATACTCCAGCACCTCATAAAGGCTATTTGGCACCGAGACGTGATTTTGTTGAATCTCACCAGGGTGAGACCACTGGGACTGTGATATTTTATGGATTTGTAATTACGTCATTTGAGTGGACTAAACTCCTTAGAGTTGTAATCTTTTAACAGACGTGGATCAGTTTGGGGAAGGTGGGAAGAAGGTGCTTTTGGAGGCAGCTGGTTGCTGCACAAACAAGTTCCGCTAACCCTGACAACGTTTGATCTTCCCTAGGTCCTGGGGCAGGCTCAGAGAGGCAGTGCTGCCTAGTGAGGACAGAGCTGGCCCAGTGTTGTGGCGAAGGTCCCTGTATAGGGAAAGCACACTTGGAGCTTTGCTAGCCTGCCTGGGCAGCGGAGAGCAGCTGCCTGCCTGGAGACTGTGCTTGAGAATCAGGAGTCTGGTGTGAAAGCGCAGGGTACAAGGCAGGCCAACTGATGAGAGGACTGGCCATGTCTGGCACAGTCCCACCTCAGTGATGCTCTCAGTGAATGTACTGTAAAAGAAGCTCTCCCCAGAGCCATGCAATTGCTGAGTTCCATTTAAAGCAGTGATGGATAAACTGTGGGTGGTTTTGTTTTTTGTTTTTTTTTTTTTAAGTTAACACTAACATTGTGATATTGACACTAGACTTATTTCCTTGTGTGTGCATGATAGATGAGGCAGATTTGCTGAGACACAGGACCAACCAAAGGGAAGTTCATATAAAGGCCTGTCTCTGATATCCTCTTCTTTCTCATTTCAGCTATGCTTCTTCTGGGAGAATGAAATTTCCTGAACACCTTGGCTTTCTGTTTAAGTGGGGTGGTAATTTCTGTGTGTTCTTTGTTTCTTGCTGCGTGTTAGCCCAGATGCTGGTGGGATGTGGTCCACAGCTGGCTGCTCGGTGGTGACATCTCTCCCGGATTCCACAGCCTGTTTTTGCAACCACACCACAAACTTTGCAGTGCTGCTGCAGGTGTATGAGGTACAGGTAAGTGAGCAGCCTTTCTCTGCTGATCTGTGGGGCAGATGCAAGAACTGTGAGCAGCACGTGGTTAATTTGTGTGACTTTTGTGTCTTTTGTCTCATGTTTGGAGCAGAGGACCATCAAGGAGGAGCTCGCGCTGCAGACCTTGACTTTTATTGGATGTGGAATTTCTTTCTGTGCCTTGATCGTTACCTTCATTTTATTCTTGGTGGTTGGGTAAGAAAAGTCCAGGCACTTGTAGCCTTCTCTGTATTTTTTTTTGTTTGTTGTTTTGCTTCAACCTGAGTATGTAAACAAGGTATCATTTGTAAGTGTCAGCCATTTCACACCTAAGGTTATGTAGGTGCACAGGAGGAGGCTGGAGAGCTATACTTGATCTATGGGGGCAGGGGGCAGGGAAGGGAGTGATTGTCTTTAACGGGGGAGGACATGAGGGGATGCAGCGCTCGTTTCTGTGGAGATGCCTGTGAGCTGTGCACACACCTGACTGCCTGTAGAATGATTTTTATCAGTGAGGAATAATATTTCCCATAAAGGTTTCTCTGTTAGAAATAATTTTTTATAAAATAATTGGAACAAAGACCATTTTTGCAATTGCAAACCCTTCTGTACAGCTCAGCAAGCATAGAGGTCTGCCTTGGGAGCATGGCAGTGACTCTCTCCACCACCTCCTCACTGTCTGTTTCTTGGGGCCCTGACTAGGGCCTGAGCAGCTGTACCTCGGCCCTTCACTAGCACCAAGTGCTTGCACACCAGGGCAGTTGCTTGCCTCTTTGGATTGTCGTCTTGCAATGAGTAGTGGAAAGATTGCAGGTCACCAAAGCAGATCGGAGCAGCCCAGCAAGGACTAGTAAAAATGCGTGCACCCTTTCGTTTAACTGCAGCTGAGGCCTTCCTGTCTCCTTTCTCAGTGTTCCCAAGAGTGAACGAACAACTGTGCATAAGAACCTGATCTTTGCATTAGCTGCAGCAGAAGCTCTGCTCATGTTCAGTGAATTGGCCAAGAACAACCAGGTAAGCTCTTTCTAAAGTGTCCTGTTTTATCCAGCAGGAGCAGTTCTGCTGAAACATTATTGTTGTGGATATTTAAATACATTTATGCGCGTTCTGCAGCATAGTTTGTAGGTTGCTCTCCCCTTCCTGATCACACGCACCCAGAAGTTCCCAGATGACTCCTCTTTCTGAAATGGCATGTGATTTCTGTTCTTTCCAGGTGGTGTGTTTTACTGTTACTGCCTTCCTCCATCTCTTCTTCATGGCAACCTTTTCATGGATGCTGGTAGAGGGGCTTCTCCTCTGGAGCAAAGTGGTGGCAGTCAATATGAGTGAAGACAAGAGAATGAAGTTCTACTATGTGACAGGCTGGGGTACCGACAGACTCTTCTGCATTGGGTGCTCAAAAGAAAAAAAAAAACACACAATTGTTTTCTCTAGCAAAAGTTTCGATGGGAGAGATTTCCTAAGTAGTGATGCTGAGTCACACAAATGCTTGGTTTGATTCAGTTTAAGAGCTGGGTGACTCTGTTCTTTAGAGGTTTTCTTACCCTTGCGTGTCAAATTGCCAGTCTTAGAATACAAGTTGAAAAAACACTTCTGTTACTTTTCCAAAACCAATTTTTTTTCAATACAGAGAAATGGAGGAGGAAGGTTATGGTAAGCTCTTATTCTTGGAGAGCATTACTACAGTCTGATAGTGGCTAAAATACAAATATGTTCCTGTGTAAGCACCCTTTATTCTGAATGAGTCCTTCAGGGACATAGAATTCATTTGAATGAGTTAGCTTTTATGTCGAAGAGGAGCATCCTTAAGTCAGTGCTGCATGCAAAACACATACCTAGCTGGACACTGGACAACCAGTTCAAATATTTTGCATTGTTCTATGTCTTTGCCCATTTTCCTTTTTTTTTTTTTTTTAAAAAAAAAAGGCAGTCTGAGGAGTAAATTGCTTTGGTCAGGCCTTGGAATGCTTTATACATACGAGAATGATGCTGACAGCATGTAAATTTGGTCTTATTGTAGAGATGGGACAGATTTCAGCTGCAGTAAATTGATATTGCTCATGAGGTTTAAGAGGCTTAGCTGGCTCATGCTGGTGCATGTCTCGTCATGGAGGTTTGAAACATTTGCCTAGATCACAGCTGACCTGCATTGGTCATTCTTGTTTTCCTTGGATTTTAGTGTGGTGGTGGATTTTTTTTTTTGTTGTTTTTTGTTTTCTGCAGGCCTCCCAGTCGTTATTGTGGGTGTGACTCTTGCAACTTCCTTTAACAAGTATGTGGCAGACAACCATTGCTGGCTGAATGTTCAGACTGATGTCATCTGGGCCTTTGTTGGGCCTGTCCTCTTCATCCTGGCAGTAAGCGTGCAACTTCTTCATATCTGATTTCAGGAAAGCATCACAGAATCAGCAGTATCAGTATTTCTGTAGCTGAGGTGCTTGCTTGCAGGGTTTGTTGTGCTTGCTGTTTTTACAGAATTTTTGTTATGCTTTGTATGTGCTTTTGCAACGCAATATATCTGGCTAACCAAAGCAGCTTTTTTGGTGGGAAAAAAAGTGCTTTAAGAAAATTCTGCTGACCAGTTCTTGAATTGACTGTTAAATTAGGAATGGAAATGAATGTGTATGTTGACTGTGACACTGACTCGGTTAAAGGTCTGATTTTTAGTATGGAAACATCTACGTCCTTTAAGTAGGATCAGCATCGCAACAGAATAGCAGAAAAAGGAGAAGTGTTTAAGGGGAATAGAGCAGTCTTTTGTCTACCTAACAAAGATGACATCCTGCAGGAGAGGTTTCGGGATAAGTTTTATAGACTTGATGCTTGTGTGGATAACTCTGCAAAGTACTTATTTACTGCTTTCTCAGGGTTGATATGCGTCTCCCCAAATCTTGCAAATTTGCTATGTTACAAGCTGTGAGTCTTTTCTGCAATAAGCTACCTACACTAGAGTTAAGAATTCAGAAGCTTATGGGATCCAATGGCTCTTTTCTGACAGGTAAATACCTTTGTGCTTTTTCGTGTGGTGATGGTGACTGTGTCCAGTGCTCGCAGGAGGTCAAAGATGCTGACGCCCAATAGCAGCCTGGAGAAGCAGATTGGGATACAAATATGGTGAGCAGGGAAGTGGCTGGCTTCCACTGCCACGGCTGATCTGGTTATAAAGTTGTGGAGCTACTATTAAGCTGAGATAAGAGTCTTTGCCTTGGAGTATGTAGTGAAAGACCTTGAGCTGGGAGAATCGGGGCAGAAAAGATTTTCTCCTCCAGCGTAATTGTGCATCATCCAAAAGTGGCATCATGAATATACCATTGGGAAGTCCAGCCTTTTCACTATAGGAGCCTAGAGTTGGTCTCCTATATCTGAACTTGTGCTATACTGGGGCTGGGAACTGTTGGCAGTGCCCGCCAATATCAAAGCTAAACTGGGCCTATTGGTGTCACCAGGAGCAGCAATATGGTTTGGGGCATAGCCAGTTTGAGAGCAGGTTTGTTGACCTCTAGTGGAGTTAGTAGACTTGAGAATGCAGATGACGGTGCTGAGTCCACTGCCAAGCGGTGTGCTCCTTTGGTAATGTTGGACCTCAGGGCTGCTAAGCAGCTTATCGGCAGGAACACAGACATCCTGTAAAATGTAAACCTAGGCAAGTGAGGTGGCGGTTCAGGATGTTTCAAGAGATCTAGGATCATCAGGTACCCAGTTTCCATGGATTCTTATTCAAACTGGGACCATGGAAGTGGGTCATCTCCCCTTCTCCATGTAACATTCCGGCTTGCAGTTCAAAAGGACTGAATACATTTCACACACATCCCTTCCTTAGCACTTGTGTACACCCATCAGAAGGATGCCAGTTGTACAGAGTGCAAGGTTTTTTAGCTATTTGCCATGATAAAAAGCATTTTCTGTATGTGTTTGGGACTTGATGGATTGAAAGTAGCCCTGGTGGGAATTATATACATGGGGAAGGAGAGGCAGTGTGGACTGTTGTAATCAGTCAGTATAGAGAGACCTCAAAAAAAAAAAAAAAAAAAAAAAAAACTGCTGTTTCAATCATTATTTTATCATCCTCTGTGAATCTTTATTGTTGTTAGCTGGCGCCAGGCACCCTTGCTAGACACTCATTGTTCCCCTGTTTCATAAATAAATATTCCCAAATTTACAGAAGCACAAAGATAGGGCAGTGCTGGAGGGCAGGGTGACATCCACGTGCTAATAAAACAAATACAGAAGCCCTCCTTGTAGCAGCAATTGGGGGAAGACTAGCTGTTTTCTCATGGCTAATGACGTCAAAGAGCTCCCTTCTTGCTAACTCTCAATGATAAATAAAGAGCTGGGCTCATATGCTGGGGGCTGGGAGATGAACTGTTTGTTTTTTTTCCCCTAACTTAGCTAGGAGGGTACTTTGTTCACAAAGAAATCCATTCCATAGCTACCATCGCTGGGTACCTGTTGCCTGCCAAATGATCTGATAGGCACCTGCTGGAGGAGTAGAGCTGTCTCCAGCATGGAGACAAGGAAGGCTTTCTTCTAGCCTGCAAAGTACAGACTAGAGGGCTCCAAAACCTTTGGTGCCTTTTCCGTGGCAGATCCACTCACCTGCTCTGTAACCAAGAGCAAGTCCCCCACCAGCTCACAGCAAGACCCACACCAGTGTTTACAGAGCCAGGAAGGAAGTTTGGCAGGCTGGAGCGCTCTGGCACACTGCCAGGGCACACTGGGCTCAAGGACGGGGGGGACAACAGCGACCCCTCTGGAGAGCTGGTGGCTGGGAGGCAGATGCCAGTGGGGTGCTGAGCCCTACTCTGGTGTACAATGTTTTGGTTTTGAAATGTGCCCAAGTAACTCAAAGCTTCTTTTCCCGACAGGGCCACGGCCAAGCCCATCTTGGTGCTGCTGCCTGTGCTGGGGCTGACATGGGTGTGTGGAGTCCTTGTCCACCTCAGCATCATCTGGGCCTATGTCTTCATTGTGCTGAACTCCTTCCAGGTAAGTCCTGTACTACACGGATCATCTCATCATGGCCAAGCAGTTGTCTGCAGTTGCTTGTGACCTGCTTCAGTGTTACCTACCTATCCTAATATTCGGGAGTATTAGTCAACTCTGGAGCCCAGCTTGGCTTTCCCAAGCTGTTATACTGTTTTATCTGAGGAACCCAAGTTCATGCTCTCAAGGTATGAAATACAGTCCTGGGCACCTTGTTTATCTGATGCTCTTTCAGCACCAATCTCTGGAGGGTTTCACTGGTGTCAGTTTTCCCGTTCAAATCTTGTTATTCATAGTTTTTCTGACATTAACGTGTCTTTGAAATGACACTTCTAAATTGACGTGCTTCTAAGGAACTTCTCTGGGGCTTTGATTTGGTCATTTACTAGATAATTAACTATTGGTAGCTGTCCGTTCTAATGAAGCTCTGAGGCAGACGTTCCAGTTGCTGTTTGTATCGGTGAAATAAATCTGATCCCTACAGGGTAGGAACGGGCCATGTGTGCCAGCATCAATAGCAGAATAGGCTCTTCAGGGAAAGTTTCCCAAAGGTTGCTGCCAGCCATACTGTGTTTGATTGCTGCTTGAACACTTGTTCTAGGATGAGTGTTTTTAATGTGTTTTTACATTCAGGTGTACTTAGAGGTTGTGACTGGAGAAAGTGTAGGCCCAACCACCTTCACTTTGCCCGGAGGTCACCTTTATTGCAGGGAGACAAGAGAAGAATTACTAAGAATCAAGGCGTGAAAACCTTTACCTCTAAAATCCATGTTGTCTGGGGACATGCAGCTGATCCAGGGATGCTCATGCGTGCCCAGTGAGAGCTGCACTAGTATCTGATGGGAATACAGGAGTGTTAAGTGGAGCAGGTTGCAATGTGGACTGGTGATCGGAGCCATCCGCTCAGAGTCTGGAAATGCGTGTGCTGTCTCTAGCTCTACCTCTGACTTGCAGGACCTTGGGTGAGTCATACCATCTGCTTCTGTCTCCTTATTCTGCCTGTTTACATTTTAAGGCTATTTGCTTGTCTTGCTGGCTTCTGGGGCCATGGCTGTTAACTCCTGAACGCTCTCGTAGTTCAGAGTCATGGTTATTAATATGGTAGTATTAATAGGGATCACTGTAGGACAGAAGTTAACCCTGGTGTGTAAAGCTATAGTGTTTGCTTCCAAGTTTACTGGCTTCTTCAGAAGAGTTTAAAACTATGACCAGCTTCTTTTTATGGTTAAGAGAGCAAAGCAAATTATCTTAGCTACAGCAGCTAGGCTCACTCAGTTTTGCACTGACATAGGGCTGGTCCCAGGACCCCAGGAGATCTGGAACTCAGGGAAACACAGTGGCAAAAAGTCATGGGGACTTGGTGAAGTTGCAAAACTTGTGCTTGCCACCTGTGATTCAAAGCATCAGCCACCTGGTTGGCAAAAACTTTCCAAGCCTCGAGAGAAAGCAGCTGTAGATGGAGCTAGAGAAGCACTAAACACGCTAGGCTCTTGACGTTTGCAGGGGAGGGAGTTGTCCCAAGGCAAACAGGGGAATTCTCTGCAGAGAGATGCTGGCAGCAGGGAGCCAGCCAGAGGAGAACACGCCATGGACTCTGGCCAACCCCAGTGTTAAGACTATGCCAGTATAAATAACGTCTGGGTTTACCCATACAGTCAGTCCTGTCCCTTTGCACTGGATATTCGTGGATGTATTTTACAGAGTACCTTGCACAGTGCTTGAGGACAAATCCTACTCTGGGGATCCAAGGCAAGAGAGCAGTGGGGGTACTACCCTCCAAACCACCCCTATCCCCCTTTTCTCTTTGGATACAATAGGAAATGCTCCCTGCTGTAGCTTTCAGTTACAGAGCAGGAGAGCCCACAGCACTTCACTCTGGCATGCTTGGCAGGTTTCAGCGCAACATTGGCCCAGCTTTTCAAGGGCTGGAATGCAGGCATTGTTGCCCCATGCACAAGATGGGTGGTTGCTCAAAGGCATGTTCTGCCTGTGGCTGGCACTGGTCCAGCTGCAGGGTGCTGCTCACGCACATCCGTTGGCTCTCGGATGGGGAAGTTCCAAGGCCAGGAGAGGACTGCCTCTCTGTGCCTCTGTTACGGCTATCGGAAGGGTGGCAGGAGGCCTGTCCTAACTGTAATTAAACATAGCATCGGTTCTTGCCTCCTCATGGCATGCTTAAGCTATTGTGCAGGCGAGGAATCCAGACTCTCTGCTATGAAGGGATGAGGTGCTAAGATGAACAAGGCTGAGAACAGCAGCAGCATCATTACTTCGACAGCAAAACCGTTTCTCAGCTCGGGTGAACTCTGTCCACATCAGTAGAGAGAAGTGGATCAGAACACAACTTCCCAGCACTGTCCTGGCTGTCTTTCTGCTGCTGCCAGGTCTCTGCCTTGCATCAGTGTTTGTGCTTTAAAAAACACAAGCACGTATGTCGTTGTGCTCCAGAGAGGTCCTGCTGAGGATCTCAGGCATGGTTAGATCTCTGGAGAGCTGCTTTTCAGTAGCACTCAGGGCTGCTCTTCTCTTTGCAACCTGTCACTAGCAAAAGAAGTCCCGTGACTAGCTCCCCGTTGTAGTGACTGCTAGTATTTGTGAAAATGTTTTGCTAAAGCTCAGCGGAGGAGCCCTGGCTATTGTGTGGACAAGCAGTAGAAGCGTTGCCTGTGAATATTCTGGGCTTGTTTGCCTTCTGCTCCTTGATTACTGAGTTCAGGTCAATTTGAAGATTACTCTAGGAGAGAAACTGGGCTAATGGGAAGCTGTGGAGTTGAGAGAAAGAAATGGGATGTTTTAATCCCTGCAACTCCTTTGCTGGCTGGCCTATCAAGGGCGAACTTCAATAGATCACCTTGGAATTTCCTTAAAGGCCAGTGTACTACTTTGTGGTAGTGTTGTGTAAGAAAGTTTTGCTGTTGTAGTTGTTTGTTTGTTTGACTACTTTCTGTTTATCTGCGGAAACTGAAGTCTGTCTTCAAGGTTACTCTCTGCGTCGACACCAAGCATGACAACTCCTTCTCCTAGCCAGGCAGCACAGGAATTCAGCAGAGTGACTGAAAAGCAACATCATGTGGTGCTGAGCTGGAGGTGGCTCCAGTTGCTGACCTTTAGGTTAATTAGCAGTCAGCAACACCTTCTCTAGTTCATGATTTTGGAGGTAAGAGCACCAACACCTTGCCAAGTATTGAATGCTGGGCAAAGGTGCCTGTTTTTAAGAAAAAGTGTGTGTAAAACCTGCTGGCTTTATTTCAACTTGGAGAGGTGGAAGGGTGATCCCAAGGTTGGCTCAGGGCAGGTATTTACAAAGCCCCTCACTCATCTCTGGACCTGTCCATGTGCCCCTGGCATACCAAGTTGTCTTTGCTTATTATTGTTACCTTCATTAGCAGTGCTACAGCCAAGGCATAGCCAAGATTAAGCCCACTGTGCTGAGTAAGCAGTCCTTGCCCTGCCAGGCTAAAAAGACAAGAAACATGTAAATTTATTGTAGGTCGTACCCAGCAATGCTGCTGTTTACCCAGCATGTGATATGCGACTGGAAGGGACTGGGGCTCATCTGAGAGCTCCTGGTCTGCCTAACTCTGCTGCTTCAGCACCTCAGCCCCTAAAGTAGAAAACCACCCGTTGGTCTTGTCTGGAGAGGCCTTGCAGGGATTGGGCTTTGTTTGAAATCTCAGTGCAGCAGCTGCTGTCACATGCGCAAAAAAGTTATTTTTATTTACTTATAATGACTAATTGCCTTTGATTCAGCTACTACCCACATGGTGCAGCTGGGCACCAATGGAGCACAGGTGGTGCCCACAGTATCCACAAAGCTATGTCAGAGGCAGGAGGAGCCTACAGCTCCCCAGGCTCCCAGTGTGCAAGTGTGATCTGCTGTGGCTGCAGGGCTAAAGCCTGCCCTAACCATATCTTAAAAAGAAATTGTGCTTGGATCATGCATGCTCCCTGCCAGTAGTAAACCAACTGGGCCTTGGTGAAGAGGTGGGAGAGGAAGTGGCTTTTTGGTGTCACTGCTGCGTGTAGCAGCCTGTGGGCTGTGGCCCCCCACCTCTGGCCTGTTCTTTGCCGCTTTGGCCACCTAGCCAAGCTGCTGAGCCCGGTGAGGCTTCCTTGCTTGGGGAGAGAATCGTCCTTGCCACACCAGACCTGTCTTGCAATTATGTGTGTCTGCTAAATTTTGCACTTTAGAGATTTTGTTTCATTTTCCTCTCTGTGGTAGGGCCTCCAGCTGGATGTTTTTATACTTGTTTTTCAAAGACCCTGAGGTATTTAAAATACCTCCCACTTGTACAACAGCCCCTGGGTCAGGCCTGGAGGATTGCATAGTATGGAACGGAGCACAGGACGGTGCTTGGCAGTTGTACTCTAATGATGGCTGCTCACTGATGAACGTGAGCTTGTGCCCTCGCTTCCCAGGCTGTGCAATGCCACTGAGCCACGAAAGAGCCCTGCAATGGCCTGTCAGTGGGTGTGGGGCTGGATCAGGGCTCAACATCTCAAAAAATCCCCTTCTTGGTTGGAGTGAGACCTGCCTGTGCCAGCGATCCCCGAGGAGGCAGGATTTCCCCTCTGGTGAGCAGGCAGCAGCAGATGTGCCCCTCTGGGGTGGGGTGTGCAGAGCACTGCAGGCAACCGCTGGCTGCGGGGTGGGAGCATCTCGCTCCCTGGGCCTCGCTGCAGGCCACAGTCTGGCCTGGTGCCCGTCTGCCCCCGAGCGCCTGTGCCACCGTGAGTGGGAGCCGCAGGGGTAGAGCATTGCTGGGGAAGAGGGCTCCGCTCTGCGCGGGCAGGAGCCAGCTCCTCCAGCGCCGCTCTGCACCATGGCTCTGCTTCCGCCTGCCTCTGCAGCTGGGCCTCCTCTTCCCTGCTCTCCTCCCTGCTGACCTCACCGCTCCCTCCCCCATCCCCACTTTTATACAGAATGATTATTTCAAGGAAGACCTGCCTTGGCAGCCCGACCAGAAATCTGGTCTGTAGGAGTGACCAGCATTGCTGTCTGAAGGACAGGTCATGGCACGGCGCCAGGCTATTGCTACCATTATGCCTGCCAAGAGTTCGCAGATGAAGAGCAAGGCTCATTGAAGACAAGATGGATTACTTTTCTTGCTGCAGCTGATTTATCTAGCAGCGATAACAAACACCCCACAGATATAACATAAATCTGGTGGGCCAGATAGGGCTGCCTTAAGGCCAAAATCGTTGGTCTGGAGCTGTAATTAGCCCCTGGCTCTGGCCTCCAGGTGGTGCTCGCTCTGGTTGTGCCCAGAACGCTTGCCATGAGCGCATGTTGTGCACGCTGCCCTGCGTTTAGCTGTGACCCAGCACTGGGTTGTGACAGAGCATTTAGCTGCTTGCTAGTGCTCAGTGTGTGTATGCAACAGCACCGGACTGGCAGCAGGAGGGTGGCAGAGCTCGTGCTGCCCGAGCCATGGTGTGTCAGTGCGAAGGAGAAAGCTTTGTCTAGGTTTAGGCTGGGCAAAGCTTCTGGATCCATACTGTGGTAAATTTGGAGTGGAGGATCCTGTTCAAACGCTGTGGCCTGCCAGTACAGGGGACAGGGGAGCCAGCCTGTGCTGCATTTTGTCCGTGGGAGACTGGCCAAAGCCCCCTCCCCACCTGCTGCCAGAGTTGGCCCGCTCAGCAGGAGGGGAGGTCTGTTTCCCAGATTTCAGCTCCGCTCTGTGGTTAATTCCATTAGGTTTCTGAGGTCTGAAGGAGGCGTTTTCTTGGGGGATTTTGCCTTTGTGAAAGAAGGAAGTGTGGGAGAGTGCCAAGGCTCAGGGCGGGGGGAGCAGAAGGGCTGGATGTGGAGATGCTTTCTCTGCATCGGCTGCATTGAAGAGGCACAGAGCAGCTTCTGCGTGAGCATCTCCCTGCCCAGCCTGCGCTGCTGCGGCAGTGAAACGGAGGGAGAGGAAAAGGAGTAGGGGCAGGGACTTCTGTCCGTTGGACTGTACCTGAAGAGCCTGGTCCCAAGTCTGATTTTAAGGAACACCCTTCCAGCCCAGCTGTCCCCTGTCTGTGCTTGGCCCAACATCTCTTCCCGTTAGCCCGGTCCTCACCCATTCTAATGTCATCCGACTCATTTCCTGCACAAAGTAGCAGCAAGCGAGCTGTACATCTGTAATTCTTCCTGTGCTCTCTCCTTTTCAGGGCCTGTATATATTCCTGGTCTATGCAATCTATAACAGTGAGGTAAGAGATACCCCTGGCTGAGGTTTGCTCACTCTTCAGAGCAATAGTTTGTTAGTAATTAAGGGGGTAACTGGGATTTTGGCAGATGGAACAGATGGCATAGCCCAGACTGTGCTACTGGGATGGTTATTACTTTTGCCCCATGACTTGCTGAAGGACTTCCTGCTCTATTAGAGCTGCTGTGGCCCCCTCTTAATGTCCTTGCTCTCCTCCAGGTGAGGAATGCCATCCAGAGAATGAAGGACAAGAAGAAAGCACTCTCGTTCACAGTAAGTGCAAGGAAGCCGTGCTGCTCACCTTTGTTCATCGTGTGCCCACTAGCGAGAGGCCCTAGATATGCACTTGGGCTCCTTTGAGGGGATGGAATTGGGAAAAGGCTTTTTTTTTTTTTTTTTTTCCTCCCCAGTCATCCTATGCAAGGAGAGTGGCAGAGGCAGTCTCCCTTCTTTGCAGTCCTGTTTAAAAAAAAATGCAGACCCATAGTTAATCTAGCCTGATTAAGCAGCAGCCTTCCCTACCAGAATAGGGTGGGAGTCAAAGACTCAATGGCAGCTATGCAGATAAATTCAATCCTTTAAATTAGGACCTGGATTCATGCTGTTCTAGCAAAGGCATGTGTTGCAGTTTTCTATGTCCTATATCTCTTCCATGTCGTTACAGAACTGCTCTCATCCCATCAACTACTTATCAAGTCCAAGAAACACAACCTCTTGGGAGACGGGGAAACAGAGTCCTTCTGCAGCCGAGAGTGCCTTGTCGAGCCCTGTGCAGAAAGAGCCCCCAGTGAAGAACATTACCAACAAAGGTAAAGGAGGTTGCCATTGCTGCTGGCCCAGGCAGCACAACAAATGATATTCCCAAAGACTTGAATTTTAGTGCACGTTCATTTGGCACTGTGTCGAACCCATTTGCACGCTGTGGAGGATACGAGTGGATGGCTCTGTGAATGCTTAGGGGTTGGTGCTCCAAATGCAGTAATTGCAGTGGAGGCAGGCAGCATGCTCACATGTATCACAGAGGGATTGGGCTCATCCCTGCAGGCTGGCTGAGCACGGGCAAGGGGTTCTTCTAACTGTATTATGCAGCGTTGCATTCTCTTGAGGCAACAATCTGTGTTTGTATCTTAAAACGAGTTTTCTAGAGAAGGGGAGGCAGAGGTGGCAGTAGGAAGTAAGTTACTAAGGTTCAGGGGAAAAAAATGTTACATACTCCAATCAGTATGTGGATGCAATGATTTAATTGGACTTATGCAGATAACTTGGCTGATCCCTTTGATTCAGTGATGGTGCTTAGAGGACACAAAGCACAGAGTTCTTGGAAAAGCATGAGCGTTTCTGCTCCCTAGTTTCCACGCTCATTGTGTTGCTTCTGCCCTAGGAAACTTTGGAGCCAAAATTCCCATGGGGATTTCATCAATTATGTCACCAGAGAGACCGGTATGTAGTGTTTTGTGTTATTTTTTTCCACCTTCACCCCTATATACAGTATAATGTTTATGTAGGAATGGTGTCTAATGGTTCCAGCAAAGGGCTGGGACTCTGGACACCTGGTAGTGTTACCAGCTCTGGCACAAACTCAGTGTTTTATGTTAGGCAAATCACAGAACTGACTCATCCATCCTGTTTGCAGGCTGAGGATAACAATAAATGCTTCTGTCCCAGGATGTTACAAAAGTTGCTCAGTGTTTCTAATGGACTGGGAGAGAGTCTATTAGCACGGCATGTATGTGCTCTTCCTGAGGAGCAGTCCAGACACGCAGCCTCTCAGGAGGTTTTGATACAAGTCCTGCACACACTGATTTATTAAAATATATACTTGTTATTAGCAGTGTGTTAATGTAAGTCATTTAAATCATTTGAGATTCATAGATTTCATGCCCATAATTGCCACTCCTGGTAATCAAACCAGATGCAACATGCCTGTTTTATTGTCTTCTGTAGGAACATAAGGAGAGCAAGGGTGGTGGCAAGGAGAAGCTCCTTACCAGTGACCCCTGCTTGGCTCTGGCAGTGTGGTAGGGGCTTGGGTCAGAGTCTGCTGCCTGACACCTCAGGCTGATGTGGGCCAGGGGCAGGCAGCAGAGGGTGAGAAGAGAGAGCGAGCGAGCGCCTTCTCTGGTTGACAGGGAGGGAAGAAGCCTCTAAACTGGCCAACTTTCAAGGAGAGAGCGCAGCTCTGAGCTGCTGTGGGGAAGCAGCCCCGCTGCAGCTTCATTCCCAGCCGCACCAGAGGCTTGCTGCTCCCCTCCGAGAGGGGAGAGTGTTTGGAGGGCAATTTATAGCAGGGGACATAAATGAACAGAAAGAGATAGTGAATTTCAGTAAGTAAAGCACCAAACAGAGGATGGTAGAGGTCAAGGCTAGAAACTACCCCCAGGGACAGTAAATTTAAAAAGGGCAGCAGGGGCTTGTTGTCTGTTCGTGTAGCTGAGTTGCATCCGTGCAGGGAGGGCAGGCCCTATATTGTTCTGCTGGTCGTTTCATTCCCCCTGCAGAAGGGAATCAGATGTAAAGCTCAGCAAAGCATGGCCTAAAGTGGGGACCAATTTAAATTTGACTACTCTGATACCACTTCCCTCTCCCACTATTGAAATGATCATCAGTCCTTGTGCACTTGACATACAAGTGCTGTAATTTTCTCAGAATAAAATCTAACACTACTTTCATATGAGGCTCTCACTGAAGGATCTCTCTCTCCCTCTCTAATATTTATCCTTTGAAAACCTGTGTCACATAGACAGCTCTTATTTATCTAATAGATAATACTTCTGTAGCTGGCATATCGTTCTGAAGCCACTCACTAAAATCCATATTTTCATTTCTCGTTATTTACGTTGCGGTTAATGCTGTTCCTCCTCTTGTGCTGAACACCTACCAGGATTCACAGGTGATGCTTTTTGCAGCCAGCCAGGTGCTTGCTGCGTAAACTGGGACCAGGGCTAAGCTACTTGGCACAAAATACGAGACGTGGGCTAAAGAGATTAGCGCAGAGGCCTGTGTTTTCCAGTGCAGGGAGCATTAACATAGGAGGCAGCAGATTTCCTAAATGCCAAGGCCATGGCATTTTCTAGCAGGCAAAGATAGAAACTGCTTTCCTCCATGTGAGGGTCACCTAGGACTTCTCGGTATCATTGCTACTTAAACATTTCGTTTAGAATGGACTTGTTTCCTTCCTAACTAATGTGTATTCAACAGCCTTCAAAAGGCAAGGCTGATCCCAGTGGCTCTCGGTGGGGGAGAGGAAGGGCACGTTGTCTTTTTCCCCATGGAGATGTGGGGCTTCAGCAGTGCAGCCCTAGCAGGTTCTCCCCTCACAGGCGTGTGAGCCCTGCCCTAGTGAGCAGCCCTGGGCAGCTGGGGCTTTCAATCTGAACCCAAGCTCTGTGCTCTAGAGGCAGACAGCGTGTTTGTGCACTGGATGCTACTACCCTTGGCTGGAGAGAGACTGCTTTCTCTGCTCTTCAGTTATATAAGTCAGTGCTGTTTTTCCTGCTCCCTGACTAAATGAGTCATGTAACTCACTGGAGGAGCTGTGAATTAAGAATGTCACTGGCAGCTGCACAATAGTTTGGATGAAGAGAAGATGCTACTTTAAAACGTTTGAAAACACTTAAAATGACAAAACACTGACAGAGCGAAGATAGAAGCATAGGCATGATGTTCTTTGTGTTTCAGCTTTTTAAAATGTTGTTTGGTGATATTTATTGCTCTTGGGCTGGGAGCAGGAATTTCACACCTCACAGTGTTAACCATCACTTAAGCACGTGGTGCAGGCTTGTATGCAGTCTTTCCACCACAGCACAGGGGAGGAAGTTCACTCTACTGTTTTCCTGAATTTTTCCTGTGGTCTCTAGCATGGTTTTCAGCCTGCTGGGTCATCCCAGGGCTGGAGGGGGGAGTCCCAGGAGAGCGTATGCCGAGTGCAGCTGCAGCTCACTGCTGGGGCGCTGTCTCGGGATACTCCTCCCGAGGCACAGCTTTTCCCAGGGAAACTCTCCAAAGTACCACCTCTCTCTGGGACATGGATGCAGACTTTGGTTCCCTGCCTTTGCCGTAGCTCCCTTGGAGGGAAAGTGTAGTGAGGCAGCTCATTGCTAGAGAAGATCCCTGCTTGGCCCTGGGGAGCGTGACTGGGGGTTTCTGGCAGTGAAGCAGACAGACCTGGGTCTTCTATTAACAAATGTTCTCGTCTCTTTCAGGCTGTAGAGCTGACAGCATTCAAGTCCTCAGGTAATATTTGCCTACATTATTTCTGTAATTTTTGGTACTGCTGATACTGACTTCTCTGGGTTGCATCGTGGAGTGCTGATTGAAGGGTGGAGGGCAGGTGTGTGTTGTTTTTTTTTTTCCTCAGACTTTAGAAAAAAAATTTTTTATTATTTCCGAAATGGCCTGGTGGCTGCAGTGCTAGCAAGGCTGTTGAAATCTGTGGGTCCCCCTGAGTGATGCTGCAGCAGATGAAGAGGAGGGGGTGTATGAAGCACCGGCGGCATAGTCCATGCCTCCTCTCAGGTGCAGCACCTGTGGCTCAGTCCATGGCAGTAACTGAGTACCCTGCAGAGCTCTTCTGAGGGTGTCCGCCTTGCAACACCCACCTGGTTTCTCCCAGTGTATTATTTCCAAAATGGCCTGGTGGCTGCAGTGCTAGCAAGGCTGTTGAAATCTGTGGGTCCCCCTGAGTGATGCTGCAGCAGATGAAGAGGAGGGGGTGTATGAAGCACCGGCGGCATAGTCCATGCCTCCTCTCAGGTGCAGCACCTGTGGCTCAGTCCATGGCAGTAACTGAGTACCCTGCAGAGCTCTTCTGAGGGTGTCCGCCTTGCAACACCCACCTGGTTTCTCCCAGTGTCTCTGCACCTTTCTTACTGCCTCCCCCTGTCCACATTTTGTTGCGCACCAGCTCCTGGGGCTGCTCTCTGCAAGTGAAGTTGCAGGTTGCAAACATTCAAAAGCAGCAGTAGATGCAGTAGGTGCCTGCAGGTACCTAACGCCTGAGCTCTCTGGCCTGCTAAACCTCAGCGCAGCTTGCTGCTTGGCTAGATCCAGGCAGTTTGCTGTGATGGCAGCAGCTCTTTGCACAGACTTGCTGCCACGGGGTAGTTTAGAACAGCAGCAGCTGAAGAAGCACTGAAGGGTGTTAGAGGTGACTTACTCCCAAAGAAGGGAAGCCAGGGAAGGTGAGGTGTTAGACAGGGTTGTATTTAGGAGCTTAAAAGCAGCTGTTAGTTGCTTTTGTTTTAGGTTCCTGGAAAGGCCAGTGTTGCAGTAGAGGTGGGTAGAATTCAAGAGAAATCCCTCCTACACCCTAGACCTCTGCTCTGCTGCAGTGTTGGGGTAAGGCTGGCCAGCGTCAGCTCCCTGCTGTCTCCCCGACCGTCCTGCCTGGCTTTGGGCAAGTCGTCAGCTCTTCCGTGTATGGATATAGCATATTTAGCGGGGTGGGTTTTTTTAAAACCCTTCCACATTAGGTGTCTAAACAAGGCATATTTAGACTATTCCCAAGACAATGCCTTGCAGAAGTATTGCAGATTTCCTCCCCACACTAGGCACATGAGCAAGACAGAAACAGTGACATCCAGGGGTGAATGTGATGCAGCATTTCAGGCATACGAGTGGGCTCACACATTCAGCAAAATGTACACTGAGCACATGCATTTGTGTACTACACATGCACTCACCCCTACCTGCTCCTGCATATTTTAAACTAGCCACATCTCTCATCCAGCTACAGCTCTGTAAAGATGTGAGTTGTTTAGTTGTTTTCTCATGCAAGTCCTCAGTATACTTTTAAAACCACGGCACTGTGCATGCTGAGAAGGAGGAGAGCCTTGAAGCAAAGCATCTCTGAATTTTCCAGCCAGTTTAGGAGAACTGTCTAGGATTACAGAGAAGATGATGGGAAGGCCAGAGTTAGGCTGCAGGTTTATGTTTAGTGCCTCCCCCTCTCTAGGTTAAACGCATGCAGGCTGGCACACAAAAGCCGTGGAAGACCCTGTGCAGTGCAGCGCTACCCTGTGTGCGGCCACCCTCTCCGCTCGCAACAAGAGCAGCTCCTCTCGTACCCTGGGGTGACTGAGCTGTGTGGTTTGGCAGTCCTTCAGCCTGAGGGTGAATGAGAAGATCTCCTTGAACCAGAAGAGCACTCCTCTACACACTTGTGTGTATCCAAGCTAGCATACAGCGCAGGGCTGGTGGACTGCTGCGCTGCGCTGCTCCAAGGCCCTGGGCTCAAAGTCAAGTGCTTCCAGCCATTAAAAGAAAAAAGGGAGGGAGGAAGGAGAGGGGGGCAGCAATTCCCAGCTGAAGTAATGGCCTGGAAGAGTCCAGGGCAGCCCAGCATTGCACAGGCTCCTGTCTTCAGAGGTTGTTCAATAAACCAAAATGTTCTGTAGCTCCTAGGGATAACAGCTGTCACGAGAAGTAGCAAATCCTAAACCTGCGTCTGTACATGAGGAGTGCCTGTGGAGTCGGGCACGCTTTGCATCCCAGGCAGAGAGCAGCAGCCCCAGTGACGGCAGCTGTTGCTTTCCCGAGGAAGCTGGATCTTGGGGCGATGCCTTGGGAGAGCAGACAGTCTGCCCTGCAAAGCTGGGGCGATGCCCTGGGCACCCAGCAGCCTCTCCTGGCAGCGGTATGTTTTGTAGCAAAATGAAAAGGTTTGGGTAGAGCATAGAACATGATGACTCTGAACTCTGACTCTTTTTGGCACTAGTTCCAAAAAACTGGAATACTTTGGGTGTTTGTTTATGCATGTATCTATATATTTTACTTACTCTCTTCCCTTTTCCAATTGAGGAATACTTCTGTTCAATTATTCTTTTTTTCTTTCTTGGCTCATTTTTGGAAACTTCTTTGAAATTGATGAATGAGAGAGCATTTCAGCACAGAAACCACTTCCCCTCTTCTATTCCTTTTTCCCAGAATAGTTTAATGAGAAGAGGCATATTTTTCTCCCAAATAGTCTTGTTTGAAACATCCCAGTCATGGAAGTTAATGTAATGGAAGTTATCATGATGCCAGCATTTGTCTCGGAGGAGGCTGTACAATGAGACATGAGGAAAACCTCCTACTCCACAACCCAAACAGGGGGAGACCCAGTGGGAGGGAGAAGTGCTGGACCCTGGGTTTGTAGGTGGGGAACTGAGGCATAAGGCGTAAATGATTTGCTCACAGTATCTCAGGAAAACCGTACTGGAGCTGGGGTGAAATCCACCTCTTCTCTACCCCGCTCCAGTGCCTTAGCCAGGGGCTGCGGCACTCGTTGGTGGTGTGCTGCGTTGCCCTCGCTCCAAAGGCGAGAAAGAATCAGTGTGTCCGTAGCGCGCGGTAGGAGCAGGCTCCTAGCGATGCTTTAATGCAAGAAAGAGTGGAGGTAGGTAAAATCCAGGTGAATACGGGCCAGTTTTAGAAACAGAAAAATGAAGGGTTTTGCATTT